AAGAATAGGAAGGACAAGTGCAAGGACACCAACCAGCCTTGTTAACTACCACCCTATCACCACTGCACTGTGTAAGCTGTGTGTCAATCTATTTTTGTTTGGTTGGAATTCAACCTACAGGTCCAAAACATTTTAATAGCTGCTGGTAGCTCATTGAAGCAGGTCTGGCTTGAGATGGTTACTATTATCATTCACAGAGTTTCTGGTTAAGTGGTTTATTCAGGATTACACTGATCTGTTAGTTGTGTAATCTTGGGTTGTCTATTCAACCTCTCAGAATCTGTAAAGTGAGGCTGTGTTGTAATAACATCTAACTCAAAGGATTTTGGGAAAGATTAAATAAAGAAGTGAGTTGGCTTTCTTTAGCTGGTTTCCTTAGCTATTTGTTTAAAAAACAAAACAAAACAAAAATAGAACAAACAAATCTCCAAAATCTTGAATAACAATATTTGGCACACACATCATACAAGTTCAATGAAGAAAATTTAGAAAAAATGTTACCCATAATTCCACCATCCAAAGACAGAGGAGTTAAAACACTGACTTACAGCTTTTCAATTATTTTTTTTTTTGCACATACAGACACACATATAGTCCATAAAATTTCTTCATACATACTAGTTTGTAACCAACTTTTGTTCCCTAACAAATTGTCATAAACATATTCCCTTGCCAGAAAATATATCTATTAATATGTATTAATTATTGTCTTAAATTCCATTATATAGATGTATATTTATACATGCCCTGTGTTTTGAGTTTTAGTTCCTTCCTCATTTTTGTTCCTATAAATACCTCTTTGATGAATATTCATATACATATTCTTGATCAAATGATTGATCATCTTTAAAGTTAAATTGTGTTATGTTATACATATTGCATAATTGCCTTTCAAAGAAGTTCTAGCACCTTAAGCTCTTGCTGTTGAACTAACATGCCTGTTTCACCATATTTTTGCTAAACCTGGGACTTTTATTACTTTAAATTCTGTCTATTTGACAGATGACGAATGAATTGTTAATTTATGTTTCTTACTACTGAAAATAAAACTTTAAAAATTTATTGGTCATGTCTTTGATCATTAAAAAACAGAAGTTTTTTTATTGCTATGTAGGAGCTCTTTGTTAATTAGATGCTTTAAATCTTGCCTTATATTCTATAAATATTGTTCTAGTTTTTCATTCATCTTTTAATTTTATAAATTTTTGACATTGCATACATTTGAGCATCACATGTAATTCAGTCTAGCTTTGTTTTTTGGCTTCCTCTTATAATATTATGCTTAGAGAGACTGAAGTATTTCTTAAAATAATGTCTTTTTCTTTGTTTCCAGGAAGGCATATGTCTGGTAAGTTTTCTGAGTCTTTGCATGACTTAGAATAAGGTTTTGCAGTTCTCATGTGAGAACAATAGCTTGGCATGCAACATTTTTGACACAAAATTTTTCCCTCTCAAAATTCTGTAGAAGGGACATTCTACTGTTTCCTGAAATTCAGGGTTGAGAGGTAAGTCTGATGCCAAATGGATTTTCCCTCCTAGTATGTACCCTGATTGTTGGTTTGTTGGGCAGAATGATTGCAAAATTTTTATTTATCCTTGGAATAAAAAAGAAAAGGCAGGACATTATGAGGAGAGAGAGTTCATTTTATGCTTTGGCGTGGGCTCACTGGGGACTGTGGATTGAAGACAGGGATTTCGCCAATTCAAAAAAATGATATTTTATTACTTATTTGATCACAGCGTCCTCTCTGCCTGGTGTCTTTTCTTTTTCTGGGTTTTCTGTTCAACCTCCAACCTCCAGGACCTATCCTGCATGCCTCTTAATCATTTTCCTCTTGATTTCCACACTGCCGCCTATCTCCTAAGTCCCAGAATTCCCCCAGCTGACCAGCTGGTTTGCCTGTCCTGTTTTCAACCCTGCCCAATGTGCAAGTCAATATTGCTCCTGCATTTTAATATCAAGTCTTTGTTTCACTTTAAAGCAGTCTTCCCTGGATATAGTCTTCTCTCTATTATTGTTTAGAACTTTAATTTAACATTTTACAAAATGCTATTCTCTTTCCTCCAGCAGGCTTTTTTCAAAAGAACATCCTTCGAGTGCCCAAGCATTTAAAAAATATATATATCCAGATACACCTCCCTGCATGCTCATTCTTACAAGTGAGTTCCAGGTTTGCCCAGTTTTGGGGACTTGGGAGAGGTTCAGTCAGAGAGTGTTTGGGTTCATGTTCAATTTCTTTACTCTGGGAAGAAGGAGTCAAGGAAAATTTATAATTTCTGTAGTTTAATTTCTCTGGATCAATTTCAGTTTTTCTGGGAGAGGAAAGAAGGAACCACATCTAGAGGTGGCCGTATGACAAAGGCTCCCTCACTGCACCAAAGTCCTCTTTCTGCAGGAAATGACACCACCCCCTTCTCTAATGGGTGGCTCTTGAGATGAGGCTGTTGTGACAATGCTACACATAAAAATGTTGTTTGAGCCAAGTACCATCCAGAAGTAACAGCCACGAGTGACTGTTCCCTGTGCACCGTACCAGACACAGGAAGGACTCCATGGGTGAGCCACCAGTGAGTCCCATAGTCCCTTTGCTCAGAAGGTCCTCCACATTTGGTTTAATGCTCTGCTGCCCCGCCTTGAACTTTTTCAGAATCTCATATTTGAATTTGTGTTGTGTAGTGAATTCTAATGGGAAAACTGAGCATCTATGAGAGAGAGGACTGGAGATGGCCTCACACTGGATCCTGCCTCCTGCTGCCTCCCAGGGACAGGTTCTTGGCTACTCACTCCCCTTCCTGCCTCCCCCATTTTGCTCTGTTACTGCAGCGCCCTCCGACCGAGTGGCAACTAAGTGGTGTCAGTGTGGGAGGCCTGTGTTCTGATACTGCCTTCTGCCCCTTGTGGGAGCCTGGGCATAGGCAAGAGGAGAACTGGCATTGGGCATTCGGCAGCTGTTCCCTGCCCCAGGTGGTAGTGTTGGCATCTGGTGGGCAGGGAAGGCGAGCTCCATCCCCATTCAACTATTTAACGTGTCCCAGCACAGTCGTTTGAAGACCCTTGGGTTACTTGATTGCTGTGGGCTGGAGAGGTGGACCCTGAAGGGGAGATGCCTGACTGGACTGGGGGTCCCTGGAGTGCTGGCAAGAGGGGGATCCCATGCTTGTGGGTTTGCACTTATTCCAAGTATCCCCTTGCCTGACAAAGTATTCAGTCTGGTGCTCTGTACCTCAAGGAACCTTCTGTTCCTCCTTCTCCAAACTTCTTCTGGGAAGCTCCAAGCACCTTCCAGGGACAATACCAAAGGAGCTCAAATCATTCTACAGAGAAGATACCTGTATGCACATGTTTATTGCAGCATTAAGCACAACAGCAAAAACATGGAAGCAGCCCTGTTGCTCACCAAAAGCGGACCGAATTTTTTAATAAATGTGGTATATATATACAAGGGGATATTATGCAACCATAAAGAAGGACAAAATTATGGATTTTGCAGCGACTTGGATAGATTTGGAGTCTATCACACCTAGTGATCTATCACAGAAACAAAGACCTGAGTACCACATGTTCTCACTCATAAGTAGACCCTGAACATTTATCATAATACAGTAAGAAAGGAATTGGCAGTAGTGGATCACTGCCAGGGGAAGGGGGGGTCACATAAATCAGTAAAGGTACCTGATCCTAAACCAGGCAAATTGAAGTTCAATGAGAGGCCCAAACTTCATCTGTACATTGACCACTTATGTACCTAATCCTGAATTGTACTCCACATCTTTTAAATAAACAAAAATTTAAAAAGACTTGTGTAATTGTGATGATTCCTCATATGAGTTCAATGCTCTTACAGTTGCATGCAAAACTGGCATTGCACAACACAAAGATAAATGTAAAATGCATGCTAATTATTTTAAAATTTAATTATTTTTCTTAGAATGGCATTAGACAGCCTATTAAAAACCACCATGACAAGTTGAGAGGAGATTACTAAAGAAAGAAAACGCTTTATATTTGAGCACCTTTAATGGAATCTTTTTCTGCTTTATGAGCCAGGAAACCTCTGCTATTATTTTGCACTGGCCTTGCCAATTAGGTGGCTATCCCTGGGCACAAGTTTTGAAGCATTCCTTTGTGACAACTTGTGGTTACAGGAAGCCCCTGCTGCAGATGGCCCACCTGACACCAGGTACCCTTGCTTGAGTTTTCAGACCACCATTCCTTGTGCCGTCAGCTCCCACACTTTGCCAACAATTTGTCCAGGTGTCTGCACAATTTGAGAGGAAGAAGACAGCCCTACTGATGATGTGGCAGGTATGTACCCAGGTGATGAACTAGGAATATACAGAACTGCCATTATATTTCTACCCCACATTTGTGAGTCTCTCTTATAAGTCTCTCTCTCTGCCTGACACCTGATCGAGTCAATACTTGCTGCTTTCCTTCCTGCTCTCCCCGCCTTTTTTATTTGCCTTCTCTGAGTCTGTCATTGTTTGTGATTCTGTCTCATCCTCTCTTCATTTTTTCACTTAAAAAGCCCCCCAGAACAGTCTCATTACTCATCAGAAATAGATGGTGGGCTTGTCTGTCCCCTGATGCCCTTCTGTGAGGCAGACAGCACCCATAAGGAGCTGGGTAGCCTGCTCTGTCCAGCCCTTTTCGCTTGTTCAGACAAGGAACAGGCTGGAGAGGCCATGAGGGCCTCATTCTGACCTCCATGGGGCAGCCAGCCTGGCATGTCCTCTGTACTCTCAGTTCCCTCCAGACCCCCCTCTGCAATCTTTAGAGTTCCTGGCTGCAACCAGCTGAGGCTGGAAGGGTCAGCAGAAGGCACCTTCTGCCTCCATTTTCCTCGGACTGAAATGGTCGTGGATGTGCCTTTCAGTGCCGAGTTTGCTGAGCAGAAAAATTTGCACCTGTTTGGAGCTGGCATTGCATTTAGAGAGAGCAAGGGGAAACAAAAACAAAGGACAGCACATCTGGAATGATTGCTGCCAAAATTACTTACCAAAGACATCTGCGAAGCCGTGATCCATTCGGGAGAGATGTGAAAATGAGCCCCAGCTGAGTCTCCCAGCAAAATGATTCCCCTGGGCTGTGAACCTAGGCAGCACAATTTATTTACATTATTTATGCACTCGAGTAGTTTGGAGTCTCCAGATTGGGTAGTTATGAGAGCAGATATCCTGGTGTGTATTCCAGGCACAGAGCATCGTAACAGTGATGCATCGCCACTTTTTGCATGTTGGATAGTGAGGGGAATAACATTTAGGAGTGGAATGAGATTTCTAAGTCATTGGATTTGCTAGCTAGATGTACAGATGCAGGTGTGTTTCCCAGCTCAGCATAAAACAAACTGCCGCATTACATCCTGAGTGAATGATGGATGAAGAAATGAATCAAAGCTTTATCTGAACTCAGAAATATGGCCGAAATTCTGGATCTGGAAATTGCTTTCTTGAAAACCCCCCAATTTCTATTATAATTCACCTTAAGAGCTAATGATCTTATGGAACAATTTTGATTTTTCAAAGATGTTATGGTCTTTTAAAGACCTTACTTCATATATGCAAAAGCATTAGATGGATGATTCTGGCTGATAAAGGGAGAGACAGAGACAGGAAGGTCGCCATGCAGCTCTGCATGTTTGGAGGTTCAGAATCACTTAATCGGACTCTGAGGCCAAACCATACGAATTACTCACCTGTGGATACATTATTCTAAATCCCTTAAGATTCTGGAAAAAATCAACTGATGCTTCCCAGAGGAAGACAGAGGAGCCTCTTTTCTCTGCCTCCAAACTGCTCAAATCATGCAGAAGGACTGCCCAGACTCACTATGGGGGCTTCCTAGTCTGGGCCTCATGGAAGCCACCACTTAGCTGCACAGATGGAGACTGAGAAGGCGCAGGACATCCTGGAGGGTACGGAGGGAGTGGAATGGGGGAATTCAAGAGGCTTCCCATAGTGACCCCAGAGCCTTGTACAAATTTCACCTAGATCTTCATTTATTCATGTTAGTTTATTTGTTCATCCATTCTTTCATCCATCCAGCAAGTCTTTCTAAACTGCAAAAATATGTAGTGGACCTTTATGTCTTCTGTCTTCTTTTCTTCCTCTCTGAGAGCTTAAAGACCATTAGACTTGAAGTTGATTGAGGGCAAGGACTGTATGTCTTTTGCCCATGAAAACACTGAGCCAAATACAGCCCTTGGTGCATAATTGGAATAGTTGTTCAGGAAATACCTGTTGAATGAATGAATGAGTGGAGTGTATCTGAAAGTGGGGAGAAAAGCAGTGCCTAAACACAAAACTATGGTGTTACCACTGAGTTTTCTTTAAGACTCTTAGGGCATCACCAGGAGCATGTTTTTGGCAATGTGTGGGTGGCGAGGTTACTCCTAATAGTGCTAGTGGCCTGGATATCTGTGGCAGTTGGGCATTTAGAGTATAGAGCTTCTGCTCAGCTATTTGGGGGAAGCCTCCAGAGGCTATAGCTTGACTGTCTCTTAAATCCTTCAGCTATGCACCTTTAACCCAGTGGACACAGGGACTCACCCTATCCATTTAAGTCTGGACGTCTGACCTTGTGGTATAATGAGAAAGAAATGCCAAAAATTAAAAATTTCAGTTATTGGCCTAACTTTTTATTTTACTTGGAAAAGTGCTGGATTTCCATTACTCTGCTATCCATCCTAAAGTCTTTAAAAAACATTATCATTAAAACTTTTAATCCTCAAGTAAAGGAATCAATTAAACGAATTGAGTTTTGCTTTTTCTAGATTCTGCCCCCCTCCTCATTTTCCATATCTTTTCCTGCCTTTTTCTGATCAGTCATGAAAATAAATGTATATCGGTTGACTTAAAGTAAATTCTAGCATCAGGCACTGCCTGACTTAGGTGGTCTGTTCACTTCAATTTGACTCAGACTGGAAAATAATATTCTACTGTGATAAACACACTGACTTACAATTCATACCTTCACAGAATTTCTTCTCATATGGAATTCCATCTTTTGGATCAACACCCTTTAAAAGAGAAATGATGAGATTAGCAGTTTGGTTTTAAATTTATGAGACACATGTATGAAATCCTCCCTAAACAGCTTTAAAAGCACAAAGGCAAATGAGTGGATAAAACCCTTTAAAGTCTCTTGAGCCCCTAATTCAGCATAGCAACACACCACATGCGTGAGCTGGGCTTGAGAGGAACTAGGGAGGGAATAAGGAGGAAGCCGGATACCGGCCATCTCATTCAGAGGGATGCAGGGCAGGGTGCCAGACCTGAAGTCTCTCTCTTGGAGCACCGAGGGTCCACTGAGTGACTGGGACACAAGGCGATTCTGCCATCTCTGAGTTGCAGATTCAAGTGTCCTGACATCTCCAATGCCCAGGAGTGATGCTTCTAGAGCAATTGTCCATTGGGTCGATTTTGTACCCCTTCTACCTCTGCGTTCATTACCAAGTCTGGAGACATTTTTTTGGTGGGGATGCTCCTGGCATCTAGCGGGTAGAGGCCAGGAATGCTGTTAAATAGCTAACAGTTTATAAGACAGCTCTAACAACAAGTTATCTGACCCAAATTTCAATAGTGCCAAGATTAAGAAAACTGAAAGTGAGGTTGGACCTCTCATAAGTGGGACTGAGTTACCATAGCTGGGATTTCCTAACACCTACAGCTGAAGCTACATGCTAAAGCAGTCATTCTTTGGAAGGAATATTCATAGTATGCCAAGATGAAAGTGCTTGGTAGTCAGAGATGTGTTGGAAACTGTGTGCTCACTCGCTCTTGGGAGATCCCCATGGACATTAAATCTTTCAAGAACCTGTTAATATCACACTCAGCACTGGAGTCCTGTGGACATAGTTTGACCAGTGTTGGACTTGATGGTTGCACAACTGCCTCTGAGTTTGTGATGCTGTGATTCTGAGTTGCTTTTCCTCTGTGGAAAGCGGCAGGTATGAAGGCAGTGTGTCCTCCCGTTACTGATGCTGAGCTCTGAGTCTTGCCTCTCTGAGCTGGTGGATTTCCATGGGCCTAGCACAGTCTCCTGCTTGGCTCTTCCCCTTATATGGAGTGGCATACCATGTCAGAGGCAAGGGTGGAACCATGGAGAACAGACAGCAGTCTTACACGCCGAGTTGCCCCCTTTGTTCCCCAGTGTGACAACTAAGCCTGAGTTTATCAGAACAAGAGCTGCCTTGGGGGTCTTGACACCTTATGTTCTAAAGGTGATATCTTCTCCTTCTCCATGAAAAGACAGAGTGACTGAGGATTTCATCAGTTACTCTAAGTTAAGGTGGGCTGGGGCACAGTCATCTGTCATGCTCTCCATATCCCAGAAGCCATGGGACTCAATCACCAGTAGGTGATTGCTGGTGCAAGCTTGGACCATTAGTGTCCTGGAAAGAGGAAAATATTTATGGAAACTTTCTCCTCTTCATCCAAGCAGGTACATGAGGAAACTATTCAGAGGTAATTTACCTTGAAGCCAGGGAATCTTAAGCTCCAGGGCCCCTCATTTGTACAGCCCCTGTCCATGAGAGTGCTGAGATTGACTGAGAGCTATAGAGTGTTCTAAGTGGAGATGGGAAGCCAGGCTGCAATTAGGACATATTTTCACATAAACACTTCTGGTAAACCAGAAAAGAGATCTCAAAAGAAAGTGACCCGAATTTCTAAGAAGCCAGTAATTTGTTGGAATTTCTCTCTTGTTCTAAAAAATTGCTTATGTTCATACTTGAGTTTGTAAGTTGGTATTCCTTTTCTTCTCGAGGAACCCTTAAGTCATGCAAGTTGTATACCTGAGTCTACTGCCATTGCTGTCCACAGCTAAGTATTTGGTTGGCTTTCCTCCTTCCTTCCCTTTTCTCTATCTGGAAGATGCAAATCCATTATTCATGGGGAACTAGGACACCAGCATTAGATGCCTCAAGGTAGGGGTATTGGGATAAACACAGGGTAATTTCTGTTCTGCCTGACTAGGCTTATGAAATAGAAAAAAAAATTGGCTGCAACAAAATAAGAACAGCATGTGGTTTGGTCCAACAGCTGTGTGGGTTGCTGTAAAACTTTGCTAACACCACTTTTTATTCAACTTCACACTGTTCAAAACAGTATAAAAGGATTGGCTATGGGTGACCTTAAGCAAAGGTTAAGGGGGCCGTGACTGAGGGAGCCTCTGCTCTCATGACACCACTGAAATTCTTCATGTGTGATCTCGAATTCCATACCCCTTTTCCAAGCAGCAGGAAAATAATAGGTGTAGGTTGTCATCTTCTTCTCTGGGTCTGACTCAAGTAAATAGGTGATGGACTTTTAGGGAGGGTAGAAAAAAGAGAAAGGGGTTACATTTGAATTTAGTTCCTTACCCAAATGCCATTACAGTTGGAATCTTGATGTACATCCCAGTTGTCTGGCCTAAGAAGAAAACACCAACATTGGTTTTTGGCATATACTTGTCCCTCAGTGAATGTCAGCTTCATGAATGGATGAATGAATGAGTGCTAAAGAAATGCCAGGGAGAGACAGCAGCATTCTCATGGAAGAGTGCCTACCAGAGTGCTAGAGTAACACCCAGAAGCCTCCATTTGACCTCTTGGCATTAATCTTTGTTTTGGATATTTACTGAGGACTCTGGACCAGATCCTGTCTTTTTCATGGTTGACTATATTCATGGACTGCATTGTTGTAGAGTGGCACTGATGAACAAATCAGCAAATTGTGCCTCTGAATGACCAAATAGCTGGTTAATTTAAGGCTTTGGCACTGTAGTCATGGCTAAGGTGAGGGCTGGCATATCCATTATTTGAAGTCAGAGGCTACTGTTTCTGCACCCAATCCTGCATACAGAAGGCTGGATACAATAATTTCTTTACTTGCTTTCTCCCACTTGACTGTGAGCTCCAGGGGAGGAGGCGTATTTCTTTTTTGTTTACACTCAGCATGACGTAAAGTGCTTGGCAAATAGTCAGGGCCCAATAAGCATTCCTTGGACAAATGAATGAATGAAATGCTGTTCTTTTTTCTCTGAGTTTCATTTCAACAGCGACAAAGAAGTCCCTTCTCTCTGGAGGTGGGGATCCCCTGGACTCGGGGAAGAAATTATGCCGCCTGTCTCCTTTTTGAAGGTAATTTCAAAATCAGGAACCAGCAGAAATAGTTACCGTCTGCCTGGGTACACTGACTTGTCTCTGTCGTTACAGTCTCTTCCTCGCCAGTGATAACCCCGCAGTGTCTGGAATTAGAGCACACACAGGAGGGGGTCAGCCCATATGGATGTTAGCCATGAGGACGGTTTATCAGAGCTGTCTGAGTAGTACTGATATCTACAGTTTTTAACTCAAATTCAGTCTAGGAACACTAAAGAGCACTAAGAAAATTAAGATTAATATGATAAGTCATGCTGTTTGAAGTGAAATTAACATAACACCAGGGCCAATGACAGGCGTGTGCACATGTGAATGTGCATGTGTGTGTGATGCTGGGTGTCCTGTGTGTGTGTGTGTGTGTGTGTGTGCATGTGTGTGAATGTGTATGTATGGGTACACATGTATATAAGTGTGTGTTTTTGTGTATACATATTACAGATGTGTTCCCGTACTTGCATGTGTTCATTTGTGTGTATATGTGTTTGTACATGTATGTATCTACGTGTACCTCTAGAAACAGAAAAATCATCCAATATCCTGAAATTCTTCTGTGACTATCAATTATCTGAGGCTCTAAGACAATTGGCTTATTGGGCTTAATGATTAATTTTATTGGATAACTAAAAAATCTCTAGCCAAACTGTTAAATACGTGGGTATAAATGTTTGACCTGATTGATTTGAAAGAATCAAGAGTCATAATAATGTCAAACAATGTTTTTATTTCCTCAGTTCCCAAGTAGAATATCTGAGCTTTCCCAAACTTTTGGGAGTTTATGACCTATTGCTTGCTTGTCAGCTTTCACAGAGAAGACCCTGACATTTTAGTTGCTCTAAATCACATACACCTAAAACAAACACACTTTAAAAAGGAAGTTAAAGTGGATTAAAGAGTCTCCAAAATAATACACAAAACCTTTCAAAAGAGCTGTAGTTCTCATGTAAAATTCTAGCAGTAAATGGAAACAAAAATAGTATGAGGGCCTAAGATTTACTTTGATAGCCTATATGAATATATTACCACGATGCCAAAAGTCCTTATAGAATCATGAATGATGTATTGTTCATCAGATTAATAATACAGTCAAACATCATTCAGTCTTGCCTTATTTAAGGAAAGAAATTTGTAGGAAGCAATGCAATATACAGTGAACATCTGGTTACTCTTAACAATACTTACAGGGAAAACACTGTATTTGTCTAAATCGACATCTTTGAATGGCACAGAATTTTGTATAGCTCTAGAAAAAAGAAAACAAAACACCTGGTCAGCTAAAAAAAAACCCGAAACAACGTCTACAAAAACAATAGAGACATTTTCAGACAGGTTGTACTGAGTTTATGTGACAGAGGGCCATTCTAAAAATAAAATGGTCTGTGTGGTTTAGAAGAGAGCCAGCCAAACTTTGCAAGTCTCTGCTCTCCACCCATTGAAACTGTTTTCTCTCTCTCTGATATTTAACTTGGCCCATATGGTGAAGTGAAATAACTGAACTGAAATTTTAGAGGGCATGGGATACTGATGCTGAGATCCTGAGGAAATAGGAGACTCCATTTTGAGTCCAGTCAATGAACTCAGCACTGCAAACTGACTTTGCGCCATTTCACACGTCCTTATGGAAGTCTTTTCTTAAAATCTTACTCTTTTCCACTATTTACTCTGACAATCTTGAGGCATTTAGTTGTCACTACCTGGCAACTTTCCCTTCCATTCATGAGCCTAGAAAACCAAGAATCCTGATGTGATGACCAAATAAATTCATGCCAAAGCAATGGATGCTGCACGAGGGAGGAATTCCCCTGTGGAATCCTCACTAACAGACTTTCCCAGCTTCTAAAGGGCAAACGCAGCTTTTGGTTTAGAAAAATTCCTTACACAGTGGCAGAATAATGCAGACATACAGCAAGATGAGGCTCTTCTTGGAACCTAGAGTTTAGAGTAAGTCATTTGCTCCTTTCTAGGATTTACCAAGTGGTCTTTTGAATCAAGGGCATCTCTGCAGTTCTGAGATCCTTGAGGCAAAGGAATGCAGCCCAAGACAGTGTGGAGTCCAGCTGGCAGTGTGGAGCCCTTATGAGCCCTGGCATGGTGGGCCCACTGAAAGTTCATGTTATAGGCCTCTTTGCAGAAACACTAAAGGGCTCTGTGCTGGTTATATTAGCCTCTGTGGCTATACAGCTTGTCTTCTGCTCTGTAATTCTGGAGCTGGCAAATTTGTAAAATGCACTTACTAGGTTCCCTTGCCAGCTGGAGCTGGCACTAGTGGGAAGGGAATGCAGGGGAAGGGAGGGACAGTTGTTCTTTTGCTCTCTTTCTCTGGTGATTCCCTTCAGTAAACCCCATTTCTAGCCACAGCGGGCCCTCCTGAAAGTCTCAGCACCCATGGGCAGACCCCTCATCCATGGCTCCACTGGTCTTTATGGCTGCCCGTTTGTGTACCCAGCAGTGAGGGGCTTCTGGAGCTCTGAGAACACCAGCTTCTCATTTTGCTTCCTCTGTTTGTGGTAGTGATGCCAGCTGCTTCCTGTCATACTCATAACTGGGTTGCCTCACCTTCCCCTTTTTTACTCTTTCATCCTTTTCAATGCTTTTGAAATCAATTCCTTGTATTAAATCCTCTCTACATGAAATACCTTGTATGGCTCTGTTTCCTGACTGGACTCTTGAGTGGAGGACCCTAGAATGAATAAGTGTGGGGAGGGGAACTGAGGAAGGCAGGGAGTGTGGAAGGCAGGCTCCACGCTGTCTCATAGCTAGTCTTTCCTATATCCTGCCCTGGGGAACAGGGGAAGCTGGAATCCTGAAAGAACTAGGTAGCTGGCTGGGCTGCCCTTTGACATCCTAAAGAGGAATTATCCCTGAAGGTGAAACCTAAGGAATGAACAAGTATTTTCAAGGCAAGTTATAGGATGAAGGGCATCCTGTAGAAAGGAAAAGTCACAGGATTCCCTTAGCATAGCTCTGGGTTCTGAAATTGGACTCTCTGGGTTTGAATCCCAGCTCTACTGTCTACTTGCTATGGTACCTTAGGGAGATTATTTAATCTTTGTGTACCTCAGTTTCCTCATTTGTAAAATAGGATCAATATCATTAACTGCTTATTAGATATAGGAAGTACTCAAAAAACATTAGCTCTTATTGCCATTTTGTGTAATGGGAACTTTTATTCCAAGGATGGTTCCTCGGTTGGACAGGAATCAGGTGTCAGGAGTCAGGTGTCTGCTCTCATCACAGTTTGGTTTCTAGAGACATCTTGGTCCCCAATCCATGACCCCTCTTCAGATGCTCGGGTTTCTGACCACACAACGCTCTATCCAATTATCATGCAGGCTGGTGTCACTGCCCCTGCTCTACACCCAAATGTCGTGTGAGCAGGTTTGATCCAGGGAGCAATTGTAACTGTGCTGGATGTTATTAATTAACAATATTGAGCTATTCAAGCTAAAATCATTTTATGAAGCCAAGGCACTATACAAAAGAAAAGTAGCAAGATTGAATGTTTGTGTGTACTTGCCTTTGAGTCCCAGATGGAACTCAGGATTGCGTGTGGGTTGGTTGTATCTGCATGTGGATGTGTTTGTAGGTCTCTGATAAAATGAGAATAGAGAAATCACGGAAGGACCCACCCTGGCCTGTGGACATGGTTCAATGCAGTGGTGGGGATAGGGCTGATGTGGGTGAAAGGAGCAGGGCTTAAGGAAGGAGAAGCCTGTGGAAAAGGAAAAGAAAATAGTGATGAATGGAAAACACAATTAATGTGGTATCCCACGTTAATTGTATGTTAATTGTATTGTATGTATGTATTGTATATATCCCACGTTAATTGTATGTCAATTGTATTGCATGTATTTATGTGAAATAACATGTGGCTTTGTACATACATGATTAGACACAAAAAGATTTTTAAAAGGGGGACTCTCTGACTTCTCATTGTTGCAATAAAAATAGACAGTATGGAGGCATTTTGTATCCTGATCAAAAGGAAATAACAAAAATGTGATTGCCCCATGAAAGTAAACTGATATCCTACATATTTTTTTCCTGGTAAAGTAGTGCTTTTCCTTCATTCAGTCCCTCATTTTTTCACTGAGCTCCTACTCCTGAGAATGGTATCTCTGCCCTCCAGGAGGCCATGGGCAGTGCGGAGGGATGCAGGCAAACAGGAGTTGAAGAACAGGGTAAGAAGGAGCAGGTACTGGGGAGCTGGAAGCACTAAGGAGGGCCAGGCAAGTGATAGAAGGCAGGCAGGGAGCTGGAACACCTACCGGGTTGGGGACCCCTCAAATGAATTTTGAAAGCATTAGACAAAATGGGATGAGGGCAGACAGAGGCATAGGGTAGGAAAGTCATTCCTACTGGAGGAATTTGATCAAAGGACTAAGCAACAGAAGACACACAGGTCTTGTCTCTACCACCTGGTGACTCTCTACCAGAGGGTCAGGCATTTAAAACCTACCTGTTCATCAAAAGAGTAGGGCTAAGAGTTGAGGGGTCAATGGGAACCAGACTGCCGGGTTCAAAGGTCAGATTTATCCATTACCAGCTCTGTGACCCTGGGCAAATGACTTTACCTCTTTAGAAAAGGAGACAATAATTGCGCCTACCTTTTAGGGGTTGCATTTACAACAGCTCTTGGTGCATAGACAGCACCAGATAACTTTTAGTTACCATTATTATTACTGGACCACACATTGCTTTGAAGAATGAATAAGATTGTATTTATATGTGCTTTGTAAATCATAAAGCCCTGAACAAATTGTGACCTGAAGAAAATGATACTTGAAACATAATAATTTTTAGAAAGAAGAAAAACACTGTTTTGACTTTTTCATAAAAGAATAATTTCCCCTTTTAAATTGGACCAAGAAAATCCCTGGCCACAGATGCTCTTGAATTCAATTTTTCAAAGGTGGTTCAGTTGAAGAGTTGTTACTTTGGCACTGTTGGGTCCTGCTGGCCCACATCTGACACCGGAAATCCTATGATGCATTCAGCAAGGAGGGACAGGGGTCTCAATTCAATGGAAGCTAGTCATGATGACATGATTGGAACCTGGGGAGCTGGCTGTACCTCAGCCTTCCAGCATCTTCTTTCATGTCTGATGTCACTTCCCGACATCCCAATGCTCTCTGCATTCACCCATTTATAAAAAGCAGTGTTGCTATTGTTTTTGGGACCCAGGCCAGTGCTCTACACAGCTGGCTTGCAGGGGTTGATGTTGGCAGACGATCCAGGAAGAATTTTAAATTCTTTAACTCTTTTACATGTCTAAGAGGCTCTGAATATGAGTCTGAATCATAACCTCCTCCTCTCCCTGGATATTTTCACAACAGACTGGGGATGTTCAGTGGGTTTAGCTCTTATGAAACTTATGAGATAGAGGATGGCAGAACATAAGGAAATGCACCTCTTTTAGGAGTTGAATGGTGTTCATCAAAAAGATGCTTTAGGCCGGGCTTGGTGGTTCAGCCTGTAATCCTAGCACTTTGGAAGGCTGAGGTGCGAGGACTGTCTGAGCCTGAGGGTTTGAGTTAGTCCGGGCAACTTGGCGAGACCTCTTCTCTATAATAAATCAAAAAATTAGCTGGGCGTGGTAGCGCATGCCTGTAATTCCGGCTACTTGGAAGGCTGAGGCGGAAGGATCGCTGGAGCCCAGCAGGTCGAGGCTGCGGTGGCCGGGAGCGGCCACTGCACTCCAGTCTGGGCGACAGAGTGAGACTCCAACTAAAAAAAAAAAATTAGGCCAGGCACGGTGGCTCAGTCTGTAATCCCAGCACTTTGGGAGGCCAAGTCAAGTGAATTGCCTGAACCTGCGGGTTCAAGACAAGCCTGCACAACTTGGTGAGACCTCGTCTCTACAATAATTCAAAAATTAGCAGGGCGTGTTAGCGTGTGCCTGTAGTTCTACCTACTTGGAAAGCTGAGGTAAAAGGATCACCAGAGCCCAGTAGGTTGACGCTGGGGTGTCTGTGAGTGTGCCACTGCACTCAGGCCTGGGCAACAGAGTGAGACTCCAACTAAAAAAAAAAAAACCAGAAAAGATTGTTGAAGTCCTAATTCCTGATACTGTGAATGTATCCTTATTTGGAAATAGCATCTTTGCAAATGTAGTCTATTTAAGATGAGAGTAGGGCCTAATCAAATGTATCTGGTGTTCTTTTAAAGGAAAAGAGACACACAGGGAAGATAGCCACATATGAAGAGGGGGGCAGAGACTGGAGTGAAGTAGCTGTGTGTCATGGAGCACCAAGGACTGATGGCCACCATGAAAAGCTACGAGGAAGGATTCTACCTGGAGTTTCTGGAGGAACATGGCCCTATTGACATCTGGATTTCAGACTTCTGGCCTCTAGAACTGAAAGATAAAATATTTCTGTTGTTCTAAGCCTCCTAATTTGTGGTATTTTGTTGCAGTATTCACAGAAAACTAATATAGCCTCCCAGTCCAGATGTGCAGCCAACTTTCACCTCTGGGCAAGCTCAGGTGTAACTTCCCACAATGAGAGCCAGGTTGGATGACTACAGGCTAAAGGAATAGCAGCTCCTACGGGAGAGGAAGAGTAAGAGAAACAGAGACCGGGGCAGATGGTGTGGTTAAATCAATGCCTCACAGTTAAAGAACACTATTTTGAGTTTCTTTTTCTTTTTTTTTTGAGTCAGAGTCTCACTCTGTCGCCCAGGCTGGAGTGCAGTGGCACACTCATGGTCATTGTAGCCTCAACCTGCTGGGCTCAGGTGATCCTTTTGTCTCAGTCTTCCAAGTAGCTGGAATCACAGGCATGCGCCACAATGTCTGGCTAATTTTTTGATTTATCATAGAGATGAGGTCTTACCAAGTTGCCCAGGCTGGTCTCGAACCCTTGGACTCAGGCAGTCATCTTGCCTTGGCCTCCCAAAGTGCTGGGATTACGGGCTTCAGCCACCATGCCTGGCCTATTTTGATTTATTAAAGCATCATCTGTATATGTAGTATTGACAATCTGGCACCTGAACTAAAAGGTGAGCACTGGGAGGAACATACATGACCAGGGGGGTCTAAGTGTTGGATCTAATTGCCTAAGAATCCTCTAGAGAACTTTCAGTAAAACATAGTGTTCTCTCAATAGGTCTAGGGCCAAGGAATCCAGATTTTTAAAAGTTCCCAAATTATTCTGAGGTGTAGTCAGAATTTAGTGTATATTTTAATTTTAGATATGAGGAAACTGAGGCTTGGAGACATTAAGTGGCTCAAGCTTTCAAAGTCAGCTCAAGCAGCAGCACTGCAGAAGGGTTAGGAATATGTATGTTTCCAAAGAACACTTAAGGCCAAGTACACCTGTGGCTACATCTTGGTTCTTTGGTGGCCTAGGAGAAATTACTTCTTTAAGGCTCAGTTTTCTTTTTCTTTTCTTTCTCACTTTTTAAAGTCGGGGTCTCACTCTGTCACCCAGGCTGGAATGCAGTGGCATGATCACTACGATCATGGCTCATGGCTCATGGCAGCCCCAACCGCCTGGGTTCAGGTGATCCTTTTACTTCAGCAGTCTGAGTAGCTGGGACTACAGGTACATGCCATCATGTCTGGCTACTTTTTCAAATTTTTTTGTAGATAAAGTTTTGCTATGTTGCCCAGACTAGTCAGTTTTCAATTTTGTGAAATGGGAATAATAATCCTCCCTACCTTATGAAGTAGTTGTAAGTGAGGAAAGGTATTGGAAGTTCAGCACCCATCACCTAGAACAGCACCCATCTATTACCAAGTAGTCGCAAAAGCAGCATCAGTCTAGAAGTAGCTGAGCGGAATGTAGAACATTTGCTATTTTTTTTTTTTTTTGCCTCTGAGCCCAATCTCTCGATACTGTTCCACCTCTTAATGTTTTGAACAGTGACTATTATGACATCCAGCATAATCCCAGACTCACAGTGGAGCTGAAGTATGGGATTATAACTGAGACAGGAGGGCTTGGGAATTCTGGACATTGGCTCTGCATCCAACCCTCTTCATAGATATCCAAGCTAGCTTTTTCTTTTTCTCTTTTTTTTTTGAGTTGGAGTCTCACTCTGTTGCCCAGGCTGGAGTGCAGAGGCACGCTCACCATCACTCCAGCATCGACCTGCTGGACGATGATCCTTCTTCTGCCTCAGCCTGGTGATCCTTCTGCCTCAGCCTTCCAAGTTGCCTCAACTACTGGTGCGCACTGCCACGCCTGGTTAATTTTTGATTTATTGTAGAGAAGAGGTCTCAACAAGTTGTCTGGGCTGGTCTCAAATCCGCAGGCTCAGGCAATCCACTTACCTTGACCTCCCAAAGTGCTGGGATTATAGGCTGAGCCACCAAGCTTGGCCCAGATTTTTCATGCAATAGTTTGGGCTGTGTGAAAAAACTGTCCTTTTCTAGCCTCATGAGTGCCTTGCGCTAAAGGTCTCAGAGTCCCTGCTGTGACCAATTGCCAGCCTGGCCTGCATGTCACATGGCAGGGAGGGGTTGTCCCCAGGTGTGGTGAAGTGAGTACCAGAGCCATGCAGAGAGCCTTCCTGGCAGGTTGCACTGTAGGTTGGGGCACAGATCAAGCTTTGAGAAGGAAAGACACTGGTATGCGATATATTTCCAAAAGGATTTTGTTCAGAGCAAATTTGTCTTCTGGTTTCTATACAAGTCATGTTTTGAGCAAGAAACACTTTCACTTTCAGAAATGCCTTTTAAGTGTGAAGATCACTTTAGTCATTAGGAAATGGGGACAAGCAAAGATGTATCACACGCTAATGCTCAGGAAGGTAGAAATCGTATACATACAATTTAATTTTCTGACAGATCTTGGCCAAAAACGGGAGTGAACAAATGTCAGAACCACTTCTATAATATCTCTGGGAAGAAAAGAAAAAACAATAAAAAGAGTTGTTTAGTTTAAGGAACGGTTTCCCACCATCTAAGGGCCCCTCTGTAGTCTAGATTTCTGGATCCTCCTTCTCAAAATGCCTCTTGTTCCTGTCCCCAGGCTCCATGTCCACCCCACCTCTTGTGCTTTTGCCCCCACTGGCTCCTCAGGCTAGAGGTCCCCTTAGCTTGCTCTTCCCACCTGCTTAGTCACTCTCACTCTCCATCTTGTCCCAGGAGAGTATGGTTCACCTTGGTTGGGTCTATTCTGATAACATTCCTCTACCCAAGTGCTTTAAAAAAAAAAAAGAACACTTTAAAATAAAAATAATTTCACCTTATTATGGAAATAAAGACTAAAAGGACACAATCTGGGGCTTGGAGAAAGGAAGGCCTGTTCCCCAGGGGAGCAGAGAGGTGTGAAGCTGAAGCTCCTAGGTTTTATGAGCCATGGAGGGTATCTCTGTGAGATACAGTAGAAGACCTGGGTTTTTACTAAGCACTGCTTTTAAAATGATTGTGGTTTCCATGATGCTTTCCTCAAATGAAAGAAAGAGAAGACAATAGGGAAAAAGAGTTAGGGACTCGCAATAATTAACAAAGGAAGAGAGAGTAGATTCCTGACTGCCCAGAGTCCTTCAGATGGCTATGAGGTGTATTAGGGGCTTTGGTGATATTTGACTCTGGCAAAGGAGAATCAGCAGGCTTTTCAGAAAATGAATAAAGTATTTAAGGATCTTTGAGATGCCCATCTGGCCTTCTAGGAGGAGAGGAACAATCCTGAACAGCACCCCATCTCTATGTAAGATGTGGAGACAGGTTGTCCTTGTCTTCAGCTTACTGTTGAGTGGAGGACATGGGTGGACCTCCAAGTTCTAGGCACACTCTGTGGGGTCTGCAGTGGTGGAGGCATTAGCAGGGCTGTCTAGGAACCCAGGATGGGAGGCAGATGACCCAGAAGTGAGGCAGAATAGAGGCAGGTGGGACGGAAAAGACAGATGCCCTAAGGCTTCATGACTCATTGCAGTCCATAGCCTTGCCAGAGAGGCAGATTCTTGCCATCCTCTCTCCCCAGATCTGCTTAATGAAAAACCCTGGGCTGGGTCCTGACAATCTGTGTTTTCACAGCCCCCCAGGTCATTCTAATGCTCACCAGTGCTCTAGGTTCTTGCCACTCAAGGTGTGATCACAGACTCAGAGTATTGATGTCACCTGGGAGCTTTCAGAAATGTAGGTCTCAGGCCCCACCTCACAAGTACAGAATCAGAATCTGCATTTTATTAAGGTCCCCAGGGTGCATACTAAAGTTGAAGAACCCCAGCTCCGCAGAGGGGGAAGCCCGAGCAGTGTTATGAAGTATGAGAAAGTTTGATATCTTAGGGGACTGCCAAACAGAATGCAGTGAACCATGAAAGGAAGGAGACAGTGCGACAAGCCGGAATGTGGCACTGCATGTTACCCTCAGGACTGTGGGCAATCCTTGAAGGTGTAAGGCAGAGGAATCACATTTAGGTTTCAGAAAGATATCTTTGGGGGGTGGTGTGGGAGGATGGCCTGGAGGAGACCCGTTAGAGATAAGGACCCTGAGGCCTCATCTCAGAGTTTCAAACCTCAGCACTATTGCCATTTTGAGCTGATAATAATTCAGTCTTTGCTGTGCGGGTTGTCCTGTGTGCTGTGAAGTGCTTGGTGGCATTTCTGGCCTCTATTCACTAGCTGCAAGCAGCATAAATCTGTCTCCAGACATTGCCAAATGTCCCCTGGGGTGAGGGTGTGGGCAAAATCACCACTAGTTGGAAATCACTGATGTAAAACAGGGTGGTGGTACAAAGGAGGGGTGATTAGAAGGCTGGATCCAGAACCTTAGTAGCTGAGATCAGGACAGTTGACACACTGTAAATCAAATGCCAGCATGAGATGATGCCATAACATTTGTGGCATTTTGTAAGTAGACACATTCTGAGACCCAGAGTCCAAAGTCAGGTTGCATTTGAGTGCTTGAGCTACTTCTTTAAATATTTACTTTAGACCAGGTGTGGTGGCTCACACCTATAAATCCAGCACTTTGGGAGGCCAAAGTGAGAGTATAGCTCTAGTCCAAGAGTTTGAGATCAGCCTGGGCAATATAGTGACACCTCATCTCTTTAAAAAAAAAAAAAGCCCAAGGTGGTAGTATGTGCCTGTAGACCTAGCTACTCTGGAGACTGAGGCAGAAGGATCAAGGCTGCAGTAAGCCATGATAGTGCCATTACACTCCAGCCTGGGCCACAGAGTGAGACCCTAACTCTCTCTATATATTTATTCTTTTTTTTTTTTTAAATCTGAAGACTTTGGTCTAATTATCCTAATTACAGTGTAGATTTTAACCATGATGATAACCCATGTATTAAAAAATTTTATATAGTCAGCCTTATAATTACTATACAAAAACTACAATAGAATACAATTTTATAATTGCAGTTGTTTGCTGTCAGAATTCAGCCTGATGGCTGAATTCATTGTGCAGAAATTGAGGTTAGGAAGTGAGTGATAGATGATGTAGCTTGCTGGGTCCCCAGAACTCTTCCTGGCTAGACAGAGGTTTTGATTATCTGGTCTTTTCATCACACAATGTGGGAAAGACCACTCTCCTCTTACAATATACTTGCAGAGAGAACTGAGCTGGGCTCAGAGTGACATTGTGAAGACATTGCTTGCATGTCTGCCAGCTTCTTCCTTACAATTTGAACTTTGCTAGATAGACACAAAATGTGGGCTGTTATTAACTCAGCAATAAATTTAAAATATTGCACCTGGCTGCATCTAATCCCACCTAAAATGAAAGTCGCGCATCTGGGCTGTCCCTGGAGACAGGAGTCACATGGCATCTTCAGTTGGCAATCTATTGAATCAACTTCCCGAGCTTTCCCCCACACCAGGATGTTAAATGAAGGCAGAATAGCACAGAGGGTTTGAATAAGAAAGATGGGGCAATGGGGATAAATGGAGGATCAGAGCAGGAGGGGAGTTACTCTTCTGTACATAGCCAAGCTGAAATAGAATTTCTGAATGGCAAAGAGCTTTTCAACCCTTGTTGTATATTATATTACCTGGATTTAATTGGTCTGGAGTGGGGCTTGGACATTATCAATTCTTAAAGGCTTCTAGATGATTCTATTAAGCAGGTGAGTTTGTAACCAGGGCTGCTATTTACGGCTGCACAGGTTACCCACTGTAAAACTCCAATATCCACATAGCCTGCGATATGAATGGTACTCTTTGAAGTTTAGCACTGAGGAGGTCTTGTTGAGAGCTATTGGAATAGTAGAAAGGGTACTGAACTTGGGAATAGCTAGCTCTGGATTTAAATAATGGGTTTCTCGCCTACTAGCTCTGTAGAGTGAGAAATTATTTAAGCTACCTGATACTTAGTTCTCTCATCCGTAAAATGGGGTTGATAACAAAAATACTCTATCTACTTTGTAGAGGTAAGAATTAAATAAGATGATGCCATAACTCCGGTGTACTTAGATGTTCAATGCTCTGCCAAATCCATGAAAAGTTCCCTTGAGGAGCTTTTCAGGGCCTCAGTGAGACCCAGTCTTTCTCTGGAACATTGATTTCCTTCTACAGTGCGTAACTGTTCCCCAATCTGAATTCTCACAGTGTGACGGGCTGTGCTGATATGACATGCAACCTACTGTGTGTTTCTTTCTCCATCCTGGCTAGGTCTGCAGTGATATCAGCCATCCCGGAGGAATTAATTGCAGCTAATGCTCTCTGAGCAGTTTTTCAGAGACACTTATTTGCATTTTCTGATTATTTTTTCCCTTGATAATAGCTTTCATCTGGAGAGTAAATAAATTGGTGGAGGTTTTTGAGAAGTTTTTTTTTTTATTCCTGAATTGTTCAGTAGAATTTTTTTTTTTTTTTGGGTCCTTGCAAGTAATTATTGGAATTCTGCCCCATGAATTATGCTTGCAATTCCAGTGACAGAAATGAAAAATGGTAAAATCTTAATTAGTCTTTGAGTTAACGCCAAGGCAATTTGTGCTAGTGAAGTAAACAATGAAGATTTTAGACATGTGTTGAGAAGAATAAAAGACGCATTGTAGTTTTCTCCATTTCTATTCAGTTCTGAAGGTGGTGGTCAAGGGTTTCTTGTATGTTTCAATATCTTATTCAACAACTTAAGCAAATTAGCTGAACTGGCTCCTGTTGTCCCTTAATTATTCACTGAATTAAATAATGATTGGCAATGCAGTCACTGTGATTGATTAATCAATTATGGGGAAATGCCTGCATATTGCCATTTAACATGTATTGGCCTTGTTCATCAAAACTCATATGCCCCCTACCCTGAAGCAGGGTTGCCAGATAAAATGTTACACTAGATTTACTTATACTAAAATATTATTTGTTGTTTATCTGAAATTCAAATTTAACTGGGCATCCTGTATTTTTACTTTCTAAATCTGGCAAGCCCAGCCACAAGGGATTTTCCTCTCCTGTATTTCCATGGTGCCAAATCAATAATACCTTAAATGTACTGCATCAAGGTGAATGATGAGCTATCCAGCAGGGAGAAGCCAAGGACAAGGTCTCTGCCCTCCCATTGCTGATGGATGCTTCCTTACTGCCAGTACCTTTAGTATCAAGGATGCTGCTGTTCTTTAAAGATCTACTTTTTTCTATTTCCTTTTTAGCTGGGGTTGATTTTCAACAGGGCCTAAGTCATATATTTAATTTGAGCTAAACATTCTAACTGTTAAATGAGAGTGCTGTTACAAAGAGGACAAATTATGGGAAGTGAATAATCATTGTGATGACCTTAACATTTACTGAGTACTTGGTAAGTTTTAGGCAAGATACCAGGTGCTTGATACCCAACTCTGTTAGTCCTTGCATGAGAGGACACAATTATCATCTCTATCTTTCAGACAAGAAAATTGAGGCCCAGCAAAGTTGAGCACTTTGCTTAAGGTCACATTTTTAGAAAGCGGAGGAGCAGGAGGACAGAGCCTCTTCCATAGTGGTCTGCTGGAGAGGAACAGTTCTCAACTGGGGCAAATTTTGCTCTCTAGGGGACATTCGGCAATGTCAGGAGGCAGTTTTGGTCATCATGACTGGGGAGGGGTGGATGGTACTGCCACCATCTAGTGGGCAGAGGCCAGGGATGCCGCTAAAAGCCCTAAAAAGCAGAAGACAGTCCCCAGACAAAGGACTATCCAGCTCAATATGCCAGTAGTGCCAAGGCTGAAAGACTGCTGTAGAGGCAAGGCTGGAAAAACAAGTAGAAGGAGCTCATGTTCCTACTTCAACCCCAATGTAACCGCGATATCCTGGACTTGTATCTGGAGTAGCCCTTGCCTTTGGGGTGTACAAGCAGGGGCCAGTGAGAGATGGGCATGTTGAGGAAAAGGCTGGCATCCTACCCCACAGACTGCTTACCTGAGTCGGGGACTTCTTGACAATTTGTCTTGCCTTCTCTAAAGTATATGTCCATGCCTCCTATAAAAGGAAAGTTAGATAACGTTACAACTCATGGCTCATCTTTTCTACAGTTAGGATTTTTAAAGTCCAAAGTCTTCAATGAATGAATTATTCCATAAATTTGTGATAATTTACAAGAAGGCAAATTTATGTTAATAGCTACCTTTATTAAGGGCTTCACTCTGTCAGATGCTGTGCTGAGTACTTAGTGAACATTATCTTATTTACTTTTCACAATAGCCCTAAGAAATATGGCCATTTTACAGATGAGGACATTAAGATTCAGAAAAACTAGGAAACGGACTCAAGATTACATAGCTAGCATCTAGCAGAGATGCAATCTGACCCTCTACTTCTGAACTGCTATGCTATCCAGATCTCCAGAAACAACTTGTTCAGGTTCCTAAAAGCCCCACCAGCAGAAGTGTCTTATGCTGAAGTAGTAAAGAATGGCTAATCGCTATCCTGCAAGGAACACCTCATCTTGTAACTGTGGGATCAGTTCAAACCAATTTACCATTGCTTAAGTTGTTACAGGTGATGCAGAGCCAAAGTTGTCCAGGCCTGAGCAATGGAAAATACTTTAACTCCCTACTTGTTACCACCACTAGCCTGACATACCAGTTGTATTGGCATCACCCGGGACTGGTTAGAAGCCTAAAATCTTGACCCTCTCCTAGATCAGGGAGACAGACTTGAGCATTACCTCCCATCACTTTGCTTGTTGACTTGCAATAAAGCTTTTTTCTTTTCTCAAAAACTGGTCCCATAGTATAGACTTCTATACGAGTCGGGAACAAGATCATTGCTCAGTGTCAATTGTTTGGTTACCTCCTCTTCTCCTAGTTAGAGATCCCCTGTCATCTTTCAATCATGTCTAGAGCATCAAAGTGCATCTTCCAAGTATACAAGCATTGCAAGTATAAAGAGTTAGCTCATGATTACCAAGTAACAATTGCTGTGAAACTCCAAGGACCACTGTGTTTGTGTATTTGCAGGCTGAGGGGTTGGAAGAAGAGTAACCCTGGGTGGACAGGTTTGTTCCCAGCACTGCTTCCCAGAGCTTTTACTCCCAACTCAATGAACACTCACACGGAGCAGGCCCTGTGGCATCACTCCTCGGCCTGCTCCATATACAGCCCTAAAATCACCCTCTGCTCAACAGTTGATAGGCTTATTGGAAAACTCTGTCTTTTCCATCCACTTTCCCTGTAATCCAAGTTAGTAGGGAAGTTGGGATTTGGGGAATGCCGTAGTTCTCACTCTAAGAAGCTAAGGACATTGTCCCTATGTTTAAGCAATAAAAATGGATGCTGGCATGGGGCTTTTGAGATGGTTGGTCAGCAGGAGATGGCCTCTTGGGAGATGCTGGTCGCTGCTGCTAATGGATATTCAGGACTCAGATTTCTATTTAACTCTTTTGTCCAGTCTTCATCCCACAAGCTCCCTTCCTCCATTCTGGAACTATGTGTCATCCTGACATCAGCCATGTCGCGCGAGCATGTGAGCAGGGCGTGAGGGCACAGTGTGAGCTGGGGTTGGAGTAAATATTCTAGTAGGTATCTCGGAAAGGAGGACAGTGGAACCGGTTGTAGCGCATCCTTGAGGGGCAGGCACTCAACCCCTTTCCCTGGTGTCTGCCCCAAATCATACTTCGCTGGCTTAAGCTCAAAGGATGGCAAACCCTTTTATGTCAAAGGCTGCTATCCAAGAGTGTGTGTTAATGACTTGAGAGAAGATGGTCCCCAAGTGGGTTTGGTTGCCAGGATGCCCCAGTACAGTGTTTGTTTCTTAAAACACCAAAAGACTACTGCAGCTGGGCACAGTGGCTCACAACTGCAATCCCAGCACTTTTGGAGGCCAAGGTAGAAGGATTCCATGAGTCCAGGAGTTAGGGTCAAAAGAGTTCATCCCAATCCTCACTTTTAGAATATGACACCATTAATAGAAAGACAGTTTAGAAAATGGCATTCAAAAACTAACCTCATTGAATGCACTTTTGGCTTTTTCTAGAAATTTGGCAAACCCTGGAAATTCTTCTGTTGTATAAAGCAAGAATCTTGGGCGTAATCAGTGTAACAGGGCAATTTTCTTCTACGGTGCTCCTTTTGGGTACAGCACCCTTGTTAGCCTAATGCTGCTTCCAGAGATGGGCTGCTTCCATGTCCTCCTAGGAGGCTGAGGGCAGGTTCATCTGGACGTGGTTAAGTTCTCACTGTTCGTGGTTGTGGGGGAGGCAGCAGGATGGGGGGGGGCTGCAGAGATGCAGATAAACACACCAGCCTTTGCCAAGAAGGGGAGTCAAAGTATTCAAGAGTTGGAGGGGAGTCCTGTTCCCAGAAAGTCTTCCAAATTCACCCATTTACTCAGTACTCACTTCAAATTCCAGTTACAGTGACTACTAGGAAAATCTAGATTTCTGCTAGAAATTGGGGAGGGGTAGAATCCACACACAGAAAATTGGAAGCATTTCTGCAAGATGAGTTTGGGTAAAATTAAACTGAATCAAAGAGAGAGCAGCCAGGTTTTTTAGCGCATTCAAAGGTGAAGACTGTGTGGGAAGTGAAGGAGTCCTAGGGTAGAATCCCACTAGTACCCTTGAGGCTGGGGTAGGAGGGGCTCAGCCAGTGCAGACAGGGTGGCTGTGGAGGGGGTACAAGTTTCAGTGCCACAAAGATAGGGAAACATGCTCACATCAGACAGATTTTGTCCTACAGCCATGTTTGCAGGTATTCTATTTAAGGTGAAGAAAATGGCAACTGACTTTATTCAACAATGAGGAGTGAAGGGAAGCTCCCAGAAATCATCCCTGGTTCCACCCTAGGCATCGCCCAAGGCTAGAGAAGGGCCCCAGACTGGCAGACTTGAAGCGGCTGCAATAGCATAGACAGAGCCCTCAGGAAGCTCACGGTCTTGAGGAGGGGGCATGGGCAAGTCAGTCAGTGAATCCAGGTTCAGAATAGCTGTGCACAGAGCTGGGAGCACATGTTCAAAGAAAGACTGTTTATATTACACTGACTGAGAAAGCTTCTCAGGGGACCTGTAGCCCGAGCTGAGCTCTCACTTAAATCTCTCCTAACCCCTAGAAAATATACATTCTTCCTACTTTACAGCACAGTCCAAACAGAGGCTAAACAACTCACCTAAGATTTCACAGCTAGAGAGAAGTCTGCTCAGGAATCAGGCCCAAAGAGTTCAGTCTTCAAAGCCTATGCATTGTTTTCTCTTTTACAGTGCACTTGATGTTAAGGAAAGTGAAGTTACTAGCCTTTGAAACAGGAATCTGAGTTATTCACCCAGGAACTGACAATCCAAGAGCCCTCTGCCCCTGTTGGATACGTTTCCAGTTGCAGCACTGATGTCTTATGAACTTTGGGCTAAAATTTCTGATCTCCCTTAATATCTTCAATAATATCAAGCCCAGAACATGGAGGTAATAAGTACCTGGTGATTTTAATTCACTAGACTATTAAAATGAAAATGACTAAAGAGAGATGAGGAAAGGACTGGATTTCAGACATTTCCTCGTCCCTTTCTTCAATCAATGTTACTACTTCTAGAGCAGCATGGAAGACAACAAAGCAGGGAATGTGGGGGTTGGAAGGCTGCATAAAAATAATTGTTGCTGTCTTCACCTATACAGAGTTTAACATTTAATGGGTAACAGGAAATGTACATGTGGGAGTATATTACAATGTGGAATGTAGAGAAAGCAGAGAAAAGGAAACCTTTACCAAAAAAAAGAAAAAAAAAAAAAAATAGAAATGCCGAGAAGGCTTCAGGAGGAAGCAATTTTTGTGCTGAGATGTCAAAGGTAAGATTATAACTGGTGTACGTGGGTGGAAAGGGGAAGAACATTTTGGGAAGAGGGAGTCTCGTTTAAGAGTCTGAAGAAGCAACATTTGGGCTACAGTGTGTTGAATAATCCAGATGATCTGGCTATGGGAAAGAAGCCTGGAAAAGGTGTGATGGACAGAGAGTAGGAGGTCTTAGATGTCAAGATAAAAGTTTGATCTTTATTCCACAGGTGGTTGTTGGCTACTGAGAGTTTTTGAGCAGGGGTGTGCCAGGCTTAGTGACAAATACAAGTTAAGAAAATTAAAACTGAAAAAAAAAACAAAGCACTGCTTTCTTTTTAGTTATTAATTCAAAATGTATTAATACCAAGTTACTAATTCAAAATGTATTAATGCTAATATACAAAAGAGAAGTGAGATTAAAATCTGTGTTTTTTTTCCCAGAAGAAAATGAACATAAAACTCAAAGCCATTTGGAGAAGTGACTTAGTTTGCTTGTCTTAGTGATAAGCAAATTGCCAGTAAAAATAAAAATAAAAATAATTGGTATCTCTCCTTGATAATCTTTAACTGTTAGCAATTTGATGTTTAAGCCTTCATCTATAAAATATGAAGACTACTCTTCTATATTCTGAAAAATTAAGACTTCAGGATGGAGGATGCAATTCCAATGAGCAGTTATAGAGAAAGTTTGGGAAGGGATTGTGAACTGGATTAAAAAAACGACAACTCTTCTAGTTGGAAGCCAGAATGATGTTTACAACTCTGCTAGGGCAATCATCTGAGGCATAAGCAGATTCTCCATCTACAATGAGGGGTTTGGCTCTGGAAGCATTCACTTGAGCCTCCAATTTGTTACGGTCAAATCTTTTCAGATTCTCATTACTTTCTTCCTTGGTTATCATGGTTCTTTATTACAGCCTCAAATCTTCTTCAGTCTATTTATTTCATATCCTTCTGGGTGGTTTGCTGAAGGAGCCATCAAACAAGCTCAGGGAGATAAAAGCCCTCAGCCTGGGGGTTTATGGTCGAAAGAACCATGGATATGTATATTGGATTTCTTTACTCAAGAGCTTGGAAAAGTGCCCAAGGGTACATGGTACTCCTGCGGTCTGTGAAAGGGGGGAGGGTCCTTCGCTTGATCATTAAAGCACACAGCAGCAAAGCCAGGGTGGCTCACAAAAACACTTTTGTTTAGAATAATTTAAGTGCTCACCCAAA